CAGTGAAAGCTTAGCTCGTTGATTTGAGACCTGTTCTTCCTTTCTAATATAAGCATATAGTGCTCTAAATTTCCTTCAGACACTGCTTTAACTACATCTCACAATTTTGATATTGTACTTTCATTTGTTTGGACATAATTCCTTTAGAATTAATACTTGCTAGAAAATGGAGTTTGACGTTATTTACAATTACACCAATAATCACGGAGGCTGGATATCACAGGCATAGAGGCACATTGTGACTATAAGATGTCTTTTCATACTTCCCAAGTAGTTTTATATTTTAGCTCTGAAGGTCGGTTACCAAATCCAAACTTGTTCTTAACAAGAATTTTTATGTCCATTCAATCAAAGCCTCTCACACCTTTCGGAGCCTATCAGTTCACAGCTAGGAGTAGAAACTGTAACCAGGTTCTTCATACCCTGTGTTCTCCGGTGATGCCACATCGTGATATGCTGTCTAGTTTCTTTAAGATGAAAGGAGCGACTTGTAGCAGGGCCACGTAAGTTCTGTATGGAGGAGACCGTGTCCTCGTGAATCTTCTGTTTCATCTCCTCTGGGTCCAGCTTCAGCCCGAGACCCTCTGTCTGGCACGTCGCGGCTCTGCCTCACTGGCTTCCAGCTGCTGCGCTCTGCTCCCCTCAGTCTCATTTTTCTTCAGTTCAAAATATTTTCTAATTACCCTGGATACTTCCTCTTTGACCTATTTTGGATTATTTAGAAGAGTGTTTAACTTCCAGTGTTCTTGCTCATATTTCTAATAATGATTTCTAGTTTTTAATTCCTTCATGGTCAGAAAACACATTTTATATGATTTTAAGTCTTTTAAATTTGTTGAGGTCTCATTTAGATCCAGGATATTGTCCATCTCGGTGAATGTTCAGTATGTACTTGAGAAGAATGTCTCTTCTTTTGTTGAGTGGAGTGTTTTATAAATGCCAATTAGATTCCGTTGGTTGACCTTGTTCAGTTCTTCTGTATCCTGATTTATTTTCTGGCTACCAAGAAAGAGGTAGGTTACCAAGAGAGGCGTCTTGAAGTCTCAAACCATAATTAGAGATTTACTCATTTTTTCTTTTAGTTATATCAATTTGTGTTTCACATATTTTGAAGCTTTGTTATAGGATTGCTGTGTCTTAGTATCATTATTATATGATGCCCCTTTATTTCTTTTTTTTTTTTTTTTTGAGACAGAGTCTCACTCTGTTGCCCAGGCTAGAGTGAGTGCCGTGGCGTCAGCCTGGCTCACAGCAACCTCAAACTCCTGGGCTCAAGCAATCCTACTGCCTCAGCCTCCCAAGTAGCTGGGACTACAGGCATGCGCCACCATGCCCGACTAATTTTTTGTATATTTATATTTTTTTAGTTGGTCAATTAATTTCTTTCTATTTTTGGTAGAGATGAGGTCTCGCTCAGGCTGGTTTCGAACTCCTGACCTTGAGCAATCCACCCGTCTCGGCCTCCCAAAGTGCTAGGATTACAGGCCTGAGCCACCGCGCCCGGCCTTCTTTTTTTTTTTTTTTTTTAGTTTTGGTTTTTTAGAGATGGAGTTTCACTGTCACACAAACTGAAGTGCAATGGTGCCATCATAGCTCACTGCAGCTTGGAACTCCTAGGCTCAAGTGTCCTCCCACATCAGCCCCCAAGTAGTTGGGATTCCAGGCATGAGCCACTGCACCTGGCCCTTATAATGTTTCTTCCACTGAAGTTGGCTTTGTCTAATATTAATATAGCCATTCTAACTTTGTTTTTATTTTTTTTGAAACAGAGTCTCACTTTGTTGCCCAGGCTAGAGTGGGCGTGGGTCAGCCTAGCTCACAGCAACCTCAAACTCCTGGGCTCAAGCGATCCTGCTGCCTCAGCCTCCCAAGTAGCTGGGACTACAGGCATGTGCCACCATGTCCAGCTAATTTTTCCTATATATATTAGTTGGCCAATTAACTTCTTTCTATTTACAGTAGAGACGGGGTCTCTCCCTTGCTCAGGTTGGTTTCAAACTCCTGACCTTGAGCAATCTGCCTGCCTCGGCCTCCCAGAGAGCTAGGATTACAGGCGTGAGCCACCACGCCTGGCCTGGTTGGGTTTTCTTGTAGAGACAGGGTCTTGCGATGGCCCAAGCTACTCTTGAACCCCTGGCCTCAAGTGATCCTCCTGCCTCAGCCTCCCAAAGTCCTAGGATTACAGGTATAAGCCACCATACCTGGCCTTCAGAAGTTTCTTTATGATGTTTCCAGGCTTGGATTTTTGTTGTGGTTGATTTATCCTGTTTGTGTGGTTCACTGTGCTTCTTGATTTGTAAGTTTTTATCTCTTTTCAAACTATCATCAAGTTTACTGACTCACTCTATCCTTTGGTATTTCCAGTCTATTATTGCACCCACCCAGTGGATTTTAAATTTTGGTTACTTTTTAGTTCCATAATTTCCATTTTGTTCCCCTTTGTATCTTCTGTTTCTTACCTGATAATTTCTGTCTTCCATTTTAAGAATGTTCAATACTTTTTGAAGGCTGGTTATAAATAGCTGCTTTAAAGTCTGTATCTGATCATTCCAATATGTGAGTCATCTCAGTGTGGGGATCTGTTGATTGTTTTTTCTTCCGTGTTGAGATTTTCCTGTTTTTCACACTCTGGGTTATTTTGGATTATATCTTGGATATTTTGAATATTATATTGAGACTCTGGACTTTGTTTAAATCCTAAACAGAATGTTGATTGTTTAAAGTGCTTGCACTACTAGTCAGATTAGTCCTGTGTCTACACTGGTCAGTCTGGGGCCTGGACCTGTGCATCTAGGGTCAGACCCCATGTGTGCAGGTCAACAGCAAGCCCACAAGTTCACATGCCACTCTGTTGGGTCACTCAACCATTTTCCTCTCTACTCTCCCTGACACTTGACAGTTTCCTGGGGCCTTCCTTCCAAGACCTCCAGCCAGAAATCTGGGGCTTTCTTTTCCCCACCCTGCTGCACACTCCCTCCAGCTGCATCTGGGGCCCAGTGCAGGAGGGCAGGGAGAGGAGCCCCAGCTGGTGGTGGCCCCATGTTCTTGGGGCCATGGCTTGGTGGTGGTCAGTGGGAGAGACCGTCCTGTTGACTCAGCAGCCCTCCTCCCCGCCCACACTGCCATGCTTTCCTGCATGGAGGCCCCGAGGGCAGGGGCTTGCTTTTCCCACTGCTGTGCCCCCCATTCTGGAAAGCCCTTGCACACCAGAGAGGCAAAGAGCCAAACCTCAGAAGCTGGGCCTCAGTTCCCCAGCCCCAAGAACTCGTCCCTGGGCTCCCCCTGCCTTCTCAACACTCCTTGCTGAGTCGGCAGTGAGGCCAGTATCTCCCCATTCTTGGGGCTCCCTGCCACCCCCAGGATAGATTCGTAGCAGTGAGACCTGCCTGTGGCACTGCTAGGGGGTGGGTTCCATCTGCCAACCTTGGGGTTTCCCCAGCCCACAGGAAGTTCTCCCAACTCTGCCCACTGAGACTCTCACGTCACCCTTGGGGTACAGAGCCTCAGCCTCGTGGGCCCCAAACGGGAGCCTATCCCCAGCTGGGCCAGCAGGGATGGGAGGGAGACGTGTCGAGGGTGTCTTGCATTTTCAGGTCCAGGTCTGAGTGGCAGCCAGCCCCTCTGCTGCCCTCCCACCTGCCCTCTCCTGTTACCAGAAGCATGACAGGTGAGGGTGAGGTCACTGGGGTAGGGAGGAAGGAGGAGGGAGGCCCTGGATGAGGCCTATGCCCAGGGGTCTGGCCAGGGTTCCCACATGAGGGCTGCAGCTGCCACCCCATTCTGCATCATCTCCTCCCACCTCTGCCCCAGTGGTGTTTGTCCCCAGCCTGAACGCAGAAGTCCTCAGCCTAGACTTGACTCCACACTACCCCGCCACCCCTCCTTCAGCCTATGTTTGGGCATGTCTGCTAAGCCAAGCATGTCCCTAACAATCAGTACCTGTGATGCTCCTTAGAGGAGGTGGGAGGGCCCCTCTGGGGCTTGAATCTTGGATTTCTTTTTATCAAGGTGGTTTCAGCTAGGAGGAATGAGCATGGCTTAGGCAAGGACAGGTAGGGTGAGAGTCTGTGGCAGGTGTGGGTAAAAACTTGACAAAGGGACCCCAAAGAAAAGAAGGGGACCCTTTCTTCCTGATGTCCCAGAAACCCAGCCCAGCCCCAGTGCCTTACCCACATTGCTGCTTGATAGCCTCTCCCACAAGGCCAGGCCTCCTTTCTCCCCAAAGCCGTGGTCTGCTCCTCTGTCCCAGCCTGGCTGCCAGTCACAGGCTCCTGCAGGGACCTGCCTGTGGGCAGGGCTGGAGCAGAGACAGCCAGCCAGGGAGGGGGTCAGGATGTCTGAGGAAGGCCTCCACCAATACGCTGCCCTCCACTCCAGATAGAGCAGAGCAAACCCACTGGGGACCCTCCTGGCAACCCACATGTATGCATGTGCACATGTGTATACCTGTGTGGACTGCAGACAATGCATACATGCACGTGCACTTACATGGACGTGCACTTACGTGGATACAACACAGACACAATGCAGAGACACACCTGTACACATGCACACATACATGTGTGCACACATGCAACAGATGCGTGTGGACACAACACAGAACTACACACAAGCCTGTGTCACACACTCCTTGACTTCCCTTAATGCACCAGTTTCCTTAGTGAGATGCAGGCTTGTCCCCAGTTGTGTTGAGTGACCAGGAGAAAGGGGTTGTGATTTTTTGTGCCTGTCTGAGCAGGGAAGGGCTGATGGGGCCACCGAGAGTCCCAACCTAAAGGTGGCTGACCCTGGAGAGCCCTCCTCTCCTGTTCCTGCTGCCCCTGCCTTCCCCAGTCCTGCTTGGCAGCTCCATCCAGCCCGAGCTCTGGGCTGGTTATGGACAAGCCACCTGAGCCCAGGCCAGGGGCTATTTTAGGTACAGCTCCTTGGCCGGCAGCCCCCCTCCGCCAGCAGCTCTTCTACTGGCCACCTGCCGCCTGTCAGGCCTGGAATGCTGATTGGCAGTTGGCAGGGGTGGGGCCTGGGGAGAGACTGTTATAAAGCTGGGGGTGTCATAAAGTAGCTGTCCCCGTCCGGAGCCCCCGTGGTCCCTGCTGCCACCATGGCCACCCACCGCCTTGTGATGGTCCGGCATGGCGAGAGCACATGGAACCAGGAAAACCGTTTTTGCGGCTGGTTCGATGCAGAGCTGAGTGAGAAGGGGGCTGAGGAGGCCAAGCGGGGAGCCAAAGCCATCAAGGACGCCAAAATGGAGTTTGACATCTGCTACACATCAGTGCTGAAGCGGGCCATCCGCACCCTCTGGACCATCCTGGACGAAACGGACCAGATGTGGCTGCCTGTGATACGCACCTGGCGTCTCAACGAGCGGCACTACGGGGGCCTCACGGGCCTCAACAAGGCAGAGACAGCTGCTAAACACGGGGAGGAGCAGGTGAAGATCTGGAGGCGCTCCTTCGACACCCCACCACCCCCCATGGATGAGAAGCACCCCTACTACAACTCCATCAGCAAGGTGGGCTGCCACAGGGAAGGCCTCTGGGAGGCTGCGGGGTCGGGAGCTGGGGTTGGGGGCCAGCTGCCCAGGGAGGGAACAGCAGTGTTCCTGTGTCCCCCCAGGAACGTCGGTACGCAGGCCTGAAGCCTGGGGAGCTGCCCACCTGTGAGAGCCTCAAGGACACCATCGCCCGGGCCCTGCCCTTTTGGAACCAGGAGATTACCCCGCAGATCAAGGCCGGCAAGAGAGTGCTCATCGCGGCCCATGGGAACAGCCTGCGGGGCATCGTCAAGCACTTGGAAGGTGAGGCCCACCCTTGGGAGTAGGTGTGTGCGGGCAGCCCTGACTTCTATTTTAGCAAACGTTCCCACCACCTGGTAGAGGCAGCCTTCTAGATATGGGATTTTCAAACTGTTTACTGATTAGCAGTGGGCTGAGAAACCTAAGTTTTGTTAAGCTTTTGCTTCATTTCTGTGTGGGACACCATGTACAGTGCTTCCTTCTGCAGTCTGTGGGTGAAAAGTCTGCACCGTACTGGCTGGGCCCACCCTTGGGCCTGGGCCCCTGGGAGGCAGCTCGCTGTGGTCAGACGTGGGGCCCCACCTCAGAGCATCTGGCTCCAAATCCTGGTTTACAGCAGGATCCTGGGCAGCCACTTCAGCCACTGGGGCAGCAGGAGCTCCCTGGCGTCTCCTGGTACTGCCTCTTGACCTTTGGCTAGAACCCCTGCACACCCACCCCCCACCATCCTCCTCCCCAAACCCTCTCCTGACAAAGGCAAGACCAGTCAGAAGAGGGGTACAGAGCTATAGAGTGGCCAGATGCCCCCACTAGAAAGCAAGAGCTGAGCAATGGGCCCGGGGCAACAGCATGGGGAGGCCCCGCCACCCCCTAGGACCCTCAGACGCCAGGGCAGTCTAAGTTTAGCATCCAAATGACCTTCAAGCTTGCTGGGATCCTGGAAAGGCAAGAAGGGTGTGTCCCAAACCTCTTGCTCCTGAGGGCTGACAGGCAGCCAGCCAGCCCCAAGTCTGCCAGCTCTACCGGCAGATGCCTGGTCCTGGCCCTGGCACCTCTCCCTTCTGGGGGCTTCACTAGCCCCATGTGCCTCTCACAGCCTGGGCTGGGGGAAGGGGACACACCACGATGAATGTGATGGGATTCCTATGGGAGTCAGGGTGTCCCTCACCCCCCAGAGAATATCCTCTTAAGCCCTCCTGCACAGAGGGGGTGGGGTGAACACCAAAGGTCGAGCTGCTATTCCCAGCACAGGGGCTGCAGGAGGCTGGCAGGGTCGGGTTTCGAGCCAGCATGGCCTCCCCAGACTCTGTCCTTCCTCCAGCCCTGTTCCTCACTCCTCTACTCATCATGTCTAGAATTCAGAACACCCTGGAAAGCAAATGGCTAACGTTTGTCCTGGCACTCAACTTCGGTCTGGCCAGGGTTCACTCTGGACTGAGGAGTTTGGAGATGGCACCACCTCAATTCCCAGCCATTCAGCCAGAGAGAGGTCTCCGTCTGATTTACCACTGGCTATTTCTTAGGCTCTTGGCTCAACCCAGTTTTGCCTTGAGTGGTCAGTATATTTCTGTGGCTTTACTCTCAGGGCTGGGAGGCTGATGCCAGGTGGACCAGCTCTGCAGCCCATAAAGTCACAGCATCTGCTATATGGACAGGCTGGGGGCAAAGGGGCTAAGGACGCCTGTTCCTCCTGTCCAGGGATGTCGGACCAGGCTATCATGGAGCTGAACCTGCCCACGGGGATCCCCATTGTGTACGAGCTGGACCAGGCACTGAAGCCCACCAAGCCCATGCAGTTCCTGGGTGACGAGGAGACTGTGCGGAAGGCCATGGAGGCCGTGGCTGCCCAGGGCAAGGCCAAGTGAGGGGTGGGCTTGGGTAATAAAGGCACCTCCTCCCACTGCCTGGAGTCAAGTGTGGCCAAGCATGCCAGGCTCTCAGGCTGGCTCCACAGGCCTGGCCTCTGGGGCCTGTCCTGCTTACCCCCACCATTAGCAGTGGGGACTCCAGGAACTAGGGGTACAGCTATGCCCCCAAGCCCATGTCACCAGGGCTGCAACCACCCCAGAAACTTGCCCTCTGGACAAGCCCCTGAAGCTTCAGAGCCTTTTGGTAACCATGCTCTAGAATCAGTGTGCTTGGGGCCACTTAGGGAGAAGAGGCCAAGTGACCCAGCCCTCCCTGTGAGGAGCAAAGACCAGGACACTACTTCTCTGTCAGCTTCCTTCAAAGGATGGGTGCTCCTCTGCTGTCCCCATAGCCCCTGGGGTGGCACCTTGAGCCCCACATCCTGGATGGGACAGATAAGCCCACAGGGGGTCTCAAAGCCAGCAATACTCCAGACTCATGGGGCTTCCACAGCCTGGGAGGGGGATGGGGGGGGCTGCCATCTCCATGGGAAAAAGGCCAGGAAGCCCTGGTAAGAAAAGCGAGGCCTAAGGGGCAGGAAGCATGGGAGGAGGGGTTGGGCTCAGCCACCACCTAGGGCCAGCAGACCTCAGTGCAGCCTTCACCCCAGGCCACTGGCAGGTGAGGCTGGGAATTGAGCCTGTCTGCCTAGCACCTCCCAGACACAAGAGGGACCTAATTCCCCAGAGGCTCGGTGGATGCCAGGCCTCACTCCACACCCGCACACTGTCCCTGATGGGCAGAGGCTCCCAGAGGCAGGCAGCAGGGCCGCCCCTGGCCCACTCCCAGAGGAACTGGAACACATGAAGGCTCCAGCTCCAGTCACATCGTAATGTTTCTGCCTCTTCCTGATAGCTCACCATCGGCTGCATAGGGCTGAGGGTGCATGTGCGTGCACACGTGCATACGCCCTAGGCAGAGTAGGCAGACACCCAGGGAGGGGTTGGTTTCCATATGGGGCATTCGGGCTACAGCAGGGCAGCTCAGAGCTGGGAGCCTGTGTGAACCAAACTGGCAATTCTTAGTCCAAACGTAGATTGTTCAGAGACACAGATGGGCTGGGACAGAAAATAGCGGGCAGACAACAGGCAAAGGCCACTCTGTGTTACTTTTCCTAAAGCCAGGGTCAGCTGGGGTGCACACCGGGGCAGCAGTGAGTGAATCACACGGAAGAGCACATTGTGTCTGTTGTTTTCACGTACCCAGAAATGGGAGCTTGGTTGTCCTCATCCCCACTTCCCACAGCCCAGGCAGAGGGACAGAGAAATGGAGTGGGGAGCACAGAGCAGGCTCCAGTAAGACAACTTCCCTGCTGCCAAAACTGTCATGATCCACTCTAACTTTGGTCACGAACTCTGCTAAAAGCAATTCTCTAAGCTCACTGTTTCCAAGGGTCTTTCTAAACAGCCACCACCCTTTACAAGTATGAGAAAAAGAAAAAAAAGGCAAATGTAGAAGGCAGCCTGGAAGATGCCCCTGCTCAGAACCTCTGTCCCCAGCTTGGCAGCAAACACTTGAGGTCACAAGAGGGCTGGCCATAGGTGGAGCCTGGCTCAATATCCTGTTGGGGTCAAGGGCCAGGCTGCCTGGGAGGGCCTGCAAGGCTGCAGGAAGCATGTCTGGGAATCACCAGGTAATTGCTGCATTTGGAGTGACAGGCTGAGCCACCCAAGCCAGAGGGAGCCCCAAGGCCTGTCCTCATTAGGGACCCCATTCCTGAAAGAGTGCCGAATCTAACTCTCAGGCCTCCTCTTCCAGGAATAAGGAAGCATGTCTGAGAGAGAAGGGAAGGACAGGCCCCCAGCCTCACTCGATGAGCTCCACGTAGTTGGCAGGGAACATGCCAAAGTGGCCATCTGGCCCATAGCCACGCCACCAGCCTTCGTCGATCACCTCGATGCCTGTGATGAGGTTCTCAGGGTCAAAGGAGATCTCTGTGTCGTCGGCTGCAAGAAGGGCAAGCCCAGTTGCTGCATCAGTGGCTCCCTCCCACTACCTGACCCCCGAGCCCCGCCTGCTCAGGCAGCCCCCAGCAAACCTCACTGCATTCTGCTTCCTCCTCGGAAACATCCTTCTGCCATCCCGCTAAGCCTCTGCCTAAGTGGAGCCGCACCAGTGGCCACTGCACGGTAACCACACCCCCAGGGCACACCTTCCCACAAAGAGTTCCTGCAAAAGGCTGTAGGAGCCCACCAGCCTGCTCCATGGAGAGCCTCAGTCCCCTTCCCCAAGACATCCACCCAGGGATGCCTGAGGAACCAGCGTCCAGGCCTGGCCCACCTCCCCAGTCAGGCCTCCAGGTTCTAAACAAGGATGGCAACTGGGATTCACCAGCGGCCAGCAAACATAGGGAGGCCTGAGCTGTGTGGGATGGATGCTCCAGTGCCAGTCATCCCCACGCCAGAACCACTTCCACCCCTAAATGCACTTCCTACCTTCCTGTCTTACTGGGGCCATCCTCCCACATAGCCCCCGACTCTCATCTCCTAACCTTGGGACCCTGTGGTCTGTGGCAATTGGGATGGGGTACCTTACCTGCCTGGTAGTCGTACAGGGCCCGGGCACAGAGCCCTTGCCCACTGAGCCCCTGGCCCTGTATGTGATGGTCGATGTGCCCAGAGCCAGCACCTTGCTGCTGCACCTGACCAGGGACAAGAAAATGTTACCCCAGATCAGCCTTGACAATGGATCCCTGCCCCATGTGGCTCAGGTCAAGATGGGAGAGCATGGAGGGAAAGCAGTCTGTGGGCTCAGGAGCTGCTGCTGCTGTCCCCATCCCACCCCTGAATATAGAAGTCACAGGACAGTGGCAAATTCCCAGCCATGGAACACAAGGTGCTCTCCCCACCCAGCATCTCCCATGGAGTGGTGTTTGCCCAGATGACTTATGGCATAGGGCTGCTCCAAAAATTAATCGAGATAATCCACATGTGTTTTAAAACCCGTAGCATGCCCCAGAAACTCAGGCATCACATGATCAGTATTCCTGATCGTGCAGCCCCTCCATGGTCCCGCCTCCACTGCAGGGGACCTACCAGTGGGGGCTCCTCATAGAAGTTCTCCTGCTCCGGGGGCTCCTCATACACGGCCTCCTCTTCCGCCTGCACCAGATGTGGAGGAGTGCTGGGTGCCGGCTCCTCACAGACATCTGCACCAGGGAACACGCAGGTCTGACTCCCACACATCCCCCTTCTCCACCGTCGCTCCCTCCAGCGTCCCCATGGGGTGACAAGTACCATACCTGCCCTGGGCCTTAAGACAGTGGGAGTTGGCTCTCTGCTGAAGGGGGTCTCTGGCTGGGTGAGCTGCTTCTGCAGGAAGGGGCTCCGCAGCTTGCCTGCAAACCCAGGCAAACAACGCACGACACCACTTCAGAAACACCACCTGGTATGTGTACACACACACCCTTGGTGTGCTCAAAGCAGGCTCCTGGGTCTTGTCTCAGCTTGCATAGGGACAGAGACCACCCAGCACCGTGTGGTGAGCTGGTGGACAATGCAGCCCTGTGTCCTTTGGTGACCAGCACAGTCACTGACAAGGCAGGAGGGAATACCCGGGCCCCAGGAATCCCTCCTCTTCACTCACTCATCTCTGTCACCCTCTGATACACCTTTCACTAGCCTCAGGGATGCCCTACATAGGCCCCCAGGGTCCCTCTCAGCCTGCCCCTGCCTTGTGGCCAGGCCCAGAGGGAGGTCTCACCTGGCTGAGGGCTGGAGACAGAGGTGGTAGACATGGCCCTCTCCTTCTGCTTGAAAATCTCCCTCGCGTGTGTGGCCTGGTGACTGGCAGACTTCTAGGGGGAGCACATGTTGACTCCAGCGGTGGGCAATAACCACCACTGCCCCAGCCCGGATGGCAACCCCTCAAAGGTGTGTGTGGGACCAGGAAGCAAAACACAGAAGCCAAGAGGCTCACAGGGATGCTCTTGGGACAAGGTTTCGATCCATGCCAGGGCTTCCGCCCTTGGCTTCCTTCTCCACCGCCATTGCTGAGGTGCCCAGATTCCAACCTGCCCCAGCTGGCAGCAGGGCAGCTTCTGCTCAGGTCTGGGCTGAGCCCTCAACCTGAGACCAGAGACTTCACATGCAACTGTGACAGGCCTAAATGAGAAGGGCATCCACGTCCTACCTGCTCCTCGCTGGTCCGTGAAACCACTTCTTGCTGCTGCTCATATGTCCTGCTGGGAAGGGTGGGGGTGAAGGCACATGTCCCTCAGTCATCCTTTTATTTTATTTTAAATATATTTATAGTTCTTTTTTTTAATTTTAAATATATTATATAGTTCTTATTTATTTTTTTTTTCAGACACTGAGCATAGGTTAGACAGGACCTCAAGTCATCCTTGCCTCTGTAGATGAGTGAGTGCTGGGACTGGGTACCCCACCTCGCCCCCCACCTCCGGCTTACCTCTGAGGGCCGCCCTGCTCCTGATAGCGCTGCTCCCGGCACGCGGCCTCACGCAGCTCGCGCTCCCGGCGCTCCTGCTCCAGCTGCCGCTGTGCCTCCTCGGCCCGCCGCTTCTCCTCCAGCCGACGGTTCTCTTCCTCCTTCTGCAGAGACAGCCTCCAGCTCAGCCCCATTCTGCCCCTTGGCCTCACCCCTGCCTACGCCTGGGTCCCACAGGCATGAGAGCAAGGGTGGGTGCCAGAATCAGTCACGAGCTAGCCTTGTGACTTGACTCATCTACGCCTAGTCTGACCATCTGTAAACGGGCGCCGAGGAGACCAGATGCTACATGGGCTACATGAGGAAAACTGAGACATAGCAAGTGGTGCTCTACCTTCCATGTGCCTGGCACGCCCTGGGCAGCACTCACCTCAGCTTTGGCCCAGAAGCTGTCTTTGCCAACTCTTTTGATCTCAGATACAGCATTGGTTTTCTGGTACACAGAGCCCTGTGGGGAACAGAGCACTCACTAGAGACCCAGGCCCAGGGTGGAAGGTCAGCCCCACAGGCACCAAAGGTAGGGAGAATTTACTAGACTCTCAAGAG